TTCCTAAAATACATTCTTTCCAATTAATTTTCTCACATTTACTCTTCCTTCTGCCTTTTTTAAGCTCCGTCACTTTGATCTTATCCCTATTTAATTCTAGTGCTCTATTCTCTAGAAATGTTTCTAATTTTCCAATATCTGATTTAAGTCCTTGACAATATCAGCCAATAATACCACATTCTCAACATAATATAAAGACCAAATTATTAATTTGCCAATCAATATCCCACCATCCTGGCCTTTCCTTAACTTCTCTTCTAAACCAGGCACATATAAATTGAAAAGAAGTGGACTCAATGGGCAACCCTGCCTAACCCCTTTATTGATCTAGAGCTTGTTGCTAAATTTACCCCCTATCATCATCCTGCAACTCGTTTCTTTGCATATGTTCTTCAAGGAATTAATGATCTCATCAATTTCTAATTTCAACATTATGCTCCACAACTTTTTCCTATTCAGATTGACAAAGGCTGCCTTCAGATCAATAAATACAGCCCCTAGCTTATCTTTTTAACTTTTATTTCCCTTCCTACAATAAATTTCAATGTGTAAATATTGTCCATAACTCCCATACCACTTGTGAAACCTGTTTGATTACTTGGTAAGAGTCTTTCTTTCTTACCTCTTTCCAGTCTAAATCTTATATTTCTCATCAGTATTTTATCAAGGATGACATGACCGTTACCTCTACAGTTTTCTACTTTATTTCTATTTCCTCTCTTATAAACTGGGATAATTACACCTCCACACTTCCTTGTTATCCTGGTCTTCTAATCTTTTCTTAAACCATTCGTACCATTCTTTCATTTCAATTTCATTGCTAATTATCCTCTAACCTTTTCCTCTCTCTTTCCTTAAAATTTCCCACCCTTCACTCTGAGATTTAACCTCTCCTAGCTCATTTAATCTTCTATCTATTTTTATTCTGACAGCTCTTTAAAATTTGCTATTATCTTAACTTCCCTAATTTCATTTATTGTTTTAATTTTCCAGTTTCTCAAGGCCTTTTACTTCCAGTTTCTTTTTAACATTCTGGTTTTCCCACCATTTATTCATACATTCATCTCCATCCCTAATCATAATTTTTTCTGATAACTACCTATGAGATCTCTGAATAGGCATATGGTTCGATTCAAATCTTTCTTACACCATTACTTCTTTTATCATTTCCTTTCACCTTTTTTTCCTTCCTCTCCTACAATAAGATAATCCATCACAGTGCCCTCTCCCTTCCCTCCTACAAATGTATACTCCCCCACCCCAGTCTCCTTCCATATTTCCATTAGCTATATACCAGCCTTCCTCTTTCAAAAACATCAATAATCTTTTACCTTCTCCATAGATTACTTTATCCTTGAATCTTCTACATTCATCATAATTCCTCCCATTGTCCATCCAACTCCCCCTACATCCTGTCCTTGAATTAAAATCTCCCTGAAATATAATTTGATTTTCTACTTTTCCTAGATTCCTCATCCATTCCATTATCTCATTTGTTCCTTCTTCATGTTTATAGTACAAATCGCCCCTAAATTACCATTAAATTAATTTATCTGTCCATACCTCCCCTCACCTCCTTATCACTTCCCTTTCTTTCTTCTTCCTTGATACCTTTCTATACTCCTGTGATTATTCCCCCACAAGCTCTCCCTTTCTTACATTCCCTATTAGAAAATTGCATTTTCCATTTAAAACTTTTTGGTAACCATTCTAAACTCTCCTTTTCCTTAATCCAAGTTTCCCCTAATCCAACCATTTCCCATTTATTGATCTCCTCCCAAAATTCATTGCCTTTATTTCTTAATCCTGCAACATTCCAGAATCCTATTTTAATATTCCTTTTTATTCCATCTTTGTCCAATTTATTATGAGTTATGTAATAATGTGATGCTTTGTCAAGAAACGTTTTTATAATCAAACTCAATTCTGCAGATCTGAAATGCAAGTGGCTTCAGTGTCTGTTCGTTTTGGGCTCATATTGGAGGCTTATTGTCGTGGTAGTCAAGAACATATGAAAATACTTGCTCGACAAATGGAATGCCTTGATAAGCTGAAAAGTACTAGTGAACAAGTGCGGCAGCGTAAAGATAAGGAGAAAGCAAGAGCTTTTATGCAGGAGCAGCTTGAACAGAAGCACATAGCTGAATCGGTTTCAAGAGTGTTGAATCCTCTGAATCCCAGCTATCGATGCAAACGAGTCAAGTGAGTATAAAATTATTACAATACACCTTATTTTTTTTAATGATGGGTTTTGTTTCAAAATGAGAATGTGCTTATCATATTCTAAAATCATATTGACTTGTTATCTATAACAGAACTATGTTAAATGACATAATGCATCATCTTTTATGGGCAGAAACTCTTGTATGTGGGAATATAAGTTCAAAGATCTTTGCCTATGGGTAATTTACATTTTTACTAATTTCAAGGTTGATGAGTGATGTGCAAGTTTTTCGATATTACTTTAACGTGCCTTTTCCAGGGCTAATTAAATTTATCAAAAAATTTAACTGCTAAATTGTGGTGTCGCTGTCTACACAAAACATGCAATGGCGCATTTGACATCAAACACAGTGTCTGGTTTACACAGAGCAATTTTTTTTTCATATTTGAGTACTTCATTATTTTTTGTAAAGTCCTTTACTTTCCCCACTTTTTTGCACAAACTCACTATTCTCCAAATTGGAATCACATATACTATTGGAATGACTCAAAATGCATTTAATAGGAAATATACGGACTTTATGAAATTTTAATTTCATAATTGTGTGTTTTCCAATTATTTCTGAGATATTTACCAAATAGCGAAAGACTGCAAACTTGAAGTTTCTTTCAAAAGGATAGATATTGTTTTATGAAATCTCAGGTAGAAGAACTAATATTTCTTTCTTTGGTATTGTACAAAATTTTATTAAGATCAGAATAAAATGTAATTTCTTTGAAAAAACAATCATTCTTCTTTATATGAGAAAATAATAATTTGAACACCTTAATTAAGCACAATAAAATAATCTACTTTTCACTGACAAGCGAATCGAAGTCATTGCAGAGATTACCACAGAGACATAAGCATTGCAGTGCAAGATGGTGTTACAATAAAATTCAATCCACAATACTCCTGAACTTCATTGTTGCTGGGCATTGCCGAGTGAAGTGGGGCAATGCCGACTAGTACTGGATGAGCAGGCAGCTCAGAATGAAGAAAGACAATACGAGATACGGACGGAGAGAGCGAGAGATAGAAGGGGAGAGAGCAAGAGACGGAGGGAGTGAGGGACGGAAAGAGAGAGGGGGGCCAGAGTGTGCCAGTGCACCTGCTTGCGTGTTTATGTGATTGTGTTGCGCACGTTAGTGAATGCGCGTGCGCATGGATGTAGGGTGCGTTTTTTTTTTCTGGTAGTATCATATAATGCATATGCGATTTATAAAAAGACTGTTTTTTTGAAATTACAAACAGATTATATAAATAAATCAATAAAATGCTTTCTGTGAAATTTTAAGAAACCTGGGATATTATGGGGTTTGCAGCCAATGTCAAGAAGGACCGAACACCAACTTCTAAATTTCAAATATAAGTTGAGATTCCTGATTTTCAAGCTAACCCTTCAATAGTGGAAATTAATAAACTTATGTGTTTTGATAAAAGTTTTAAATTTGGAACACTGTTGTTATTGTTTGGGATTGATTTGATAAGAAATGTTCAAATTAATGCAGTTATCTGTATTAATAATTTTAAATATGTGCTATACCTACCAACAGGACCAAACAATATAAGATTATCAAACAGGTTTTGAATCATATCTAAAACACTATTTTATAAAAGTAAAACACAAGCACGACTGTTAATAAAATCTCTTTATCTTATCTCCGCAATCATCTCGCTGTTCAACACTGAACTTCTCAAAAATCCATTGCGACATTGTTGTGCAAATTTCAATTACGGTTTGCGGATTGCTTAAAAGAAAATGCATCAATACATTGAGAATATATATTGTAGAATACAGTAAAAATAGAATTAAAAATAGAATTAATATTGGCATTTTCATTAGTAAATTATTATTGAACTTCAATTAATTAATTTTCATATCTATTGTTTCTCTTGCTTAATATTTTTTTGTTTATTGTGTATGAAAATATATTTTTATTATATGCATTTTGTATTACAGTGTAAAAATTGAAGATTATATCACATGTTATCTGTAGCTAACAATATTTTTGTTTCATACATATTCTTAAGCTCTTGTATTGACTATATATTGTCAATTTTGAGTGCATGGTTGCATTTATATTTTAAACTTTTTAGTGCGTAAATTTCCGGGGTGCATTAAGTGGACAATTAACCAAGATATGCCTTTCAGACCTAAAATATGAATATACATTGCAAATGATATGGATACTTGATGATGGGTGGGAAACATAACTTAAAACATTGTATTATATAAAGAATGTACATTTTTAATAATAAAATTTTAAATGTAACGTGGTGATCTTTTATGAACTTGAATGACTGCTGAAAAGAAAAAAAATAGGACAGAAATCATGTATAGGGTTGCGTGGTCTGCATCCAATAAATAGAGGACAAGCGGGACTGGGAGGGTAATATGTAGTCATTTAAATAGAATTACAATTCAATTATATATTTTCTTACAAACATTTTAACACATACAAACACATTATAATAATATGGAAAATATTAAATTACATTTTTCATTGTTGTCATGTGTATTTTTTATTCGACTGCTCAGCTTTGATCAATTCTTTGTGTTAAAAAAAAAAAAAAATTAATTTCAGTACTACATTGAGAAATATAAAAATAATATGTAAATGCAAGTTAAGAAAAATTGTATGTTAATCATTTTGTATACTTTTAGTCTTGTGAAACAATTGAGTATGATTAATAATTTTTTCAGAGAATCAAGTTTAATGGATGATCATTTTTTTTCTCATTCTAACTTATTAAAAATAAGGCAAAACGCGGTTCTCCTATTTATATTCTCTTACACTATACAGCTTTAAATTGTGTACCATTTTATTATAAAACTTTTAAATTAAAAAATATCCACTCTTTTCTGGGGGGGGGGGGGGGGAGAAGGTAGAAAGAAGGGAACATAAGTGAAAAAGCAGATTGTTCTCTGAAATAGTGGACACCTGGCAACCCTAATTTGCATAAAACACCGTTGTTATATTTTGTATTTTGCAAATGTTTTCCAAATACTATTTTTATCCTAAAATACTTTTGGCAGAGGATTTTGTATCTGAAATACATTTTTCAAGTATTTTGCCCAATCCTGGTACCAGTTCAGTATATAGCTTAAGTTGACTGCTCCAAACACCCATTTTTGCTGCTGTAGATCCATATTAAAAGCTATTTTCTTTGGTGATTAATAAGTCACTAAAATGCTTACATTTTTTGTTTCTCATTATTGCATCTGACACCTGAAGTGTTTCATGCGCCACCTTACGCGTACCTTATGCTCAACAAAATTTAAACCTGTTAATTTGGACAAGAATTTTATCATGAGGCAGTGTTTCATAAGCCTTGGGTGACATTGTTTTATCATTTTTAACTTTCTTTGGTAATTTCAAAATGATGGTGTTTTCAAAATCTCGTTTTGCAAAATGACATAGTCATGGGGAACAAAAGCTCCAAGCTCCACCTTGCAGCTCTAGAGGCAATTCTAAAGCACCCTGTATAAATTGTAAAGTGAGTCACTAATGTCTGAAAAACTTCCAGTTTTTACTTGTTTTATCTTACGTTAATTTCTTTTTCAGAATTGATAAATGTCGGGTAATGGATAGTAAAATGAAACCTCTGTGGATTGTATTTGAAAATGACGATCCTTATGGTGATGATATATACATAATTTTCAAAAATGGTGATGATTTGAGGCAAGACATGCTTACTCTCCAGATGTTGAAAATTATGGACAAACTTTGGAAAAATGAAGGATTGGATTTAAGGTTCGCATCTTTAAACATAAAAAAATCTTCTATGATTTTGTAGGACGATGTAATGTACTTCTTTTGTGCAGGATGAATCCATATGGCTGCATATCGACTGATCATCGTGTTGGCTTAATTGAAGTTGTTTTAAATGCAGAAACCATTGCTAACATCCAGAAAGAAAAAGGAATGTTCTCTGCCACGGCAGCATTTAGAAAAGGGTCATTGCTGGGTATGTTGTGAAAAAGTATTCATTTATTGATTTGCTTGCGGGAGCTGTCAGCAAATAAACAATTGGTTTGCAATTTACAAAAAAGTCTTTTCACTTAATAAGTAACACTCTAGATTTTCAAGGAAATAGGGTGAGTTCTAATTGAATAGTGGGTGATATTTAGGGCCGGTTGTATAAAGCTTTCCATATGGGTTCCATAGCAATGGGTTCAAAAAATTTATAGGTTCCGTAGGCCTTGCACCATTGCATAAAGCAAATGTATGAATTCTATAAATATAAATTCTATAATAACATTAAGCTGCAACCAATAGATAGCAACACAGTCCATATTTGAACACTATTTATTCCTTATAGTGTTTGGCACATTCTTAGCAAGTGTTGCGTTGTATTGAGTTGTTTTTGGTTGTATTTCTGAGTACCTTCTCAGTAGCTATTTTGTTTTATTTCATTATATTCATTCATTATTTTCATTTTAGTTTATTTTTGTTTAATTCTTTTAGTATTTTAAATACAATTAATTCTTTTAGTATTTTAAATACAATTAATTCTTTATATTAGCCATTGGCTATTTGCATTTAAATTAATTAATTTACCTTTCATTCTTAATTTTAAATATGAATTTTTGCTGATAGAATTAATAATAAATTATAATTAATAATGAACTACTATTCAAATCACTTTGAAATACAAAGTAATGATTAATTTGCTATCTAAACAATTAAGTAGTAACCATTAATACAAGTAGAGCCCAGAAGTTATGGCATTTAATTTGCCAAATACAGGTAAGCAATAATGCAATACAATATGACATGAGTTTTTTTAAAATGTACTTAAAGACTAATCATTTAAATTATTCAAATTTTATTTGTAATATTGATATTAATATTAGCACTTACAAGGAAGCATTTTCATCATTGTTCATAAATCAATTTTATAATTTTCTTTGGTTATCTATTTATTGGAAAGAAATTGTTTCACAACTGAAAATTATTTTTTATGACAAACCAAATTTCAGCATTATGACTGCAAATTAAATTCACTGATGATTCTACGAAGGGTTAAGTGTGGGCTGAACTATTCTTTTATGAATCTTTGAATTTAAGCAAAATTGAAAAACTATTGCTTTATTTCGTTGCATTAATTTATTCACCTGTACATGAATCTGGCTATATTGTATCATGTACAAAGGCGTCTGTCCTCAAAAGGGGTTGGATGCCACACGTAAGCATTGCATGGGAGTTGATTGATATTGGTGCTAGTTGAATAAGACAAAATATTATAGCAAAAATTAACATATTTTCATAACCAAATTTAATCCTTACTTCTCATTACAATACATGCAAGAATAATGTATTAATATAGAATTCACTAATGTTAAATACATACAGATACACCAAAAACACATACTAAATACAATATAGAATTCGTAAAAGCAACGATAACACAAAGCAACACAACACATGGATGCCAGGTATCATCAATAACCTCAAGCACTAGAAAACAGCTGTTTGTACCAGTGCAGTTTGAGCTGCTATGTTGCTTATTTGTTGAATCCATAAGCATTTGTAGACCCATTTCAGAACCGATAAGTTATAGAAAGCCTTATAGGGTCCATAAGTCTTATTTATTTTTCTAGAAACATATTTTGTCACTATGGACTCTTTTATAGAACCAAGAATTATGGATTCCACATTGAACGTTTATGCAACCGGATATTCGCAGTCAAGGTCTGCACAATGTACTTTAGAAGATTCATGTTGGTTTCATTTGTATTTTTACATATGTCAATGTTTTACTGTAAATTTTACTGTTAAGGAGAAGATGAGAATCCATTTCTTGCAGTGACTGGGAGATCTTGGCGTTTGGATCCTAACAGTGAAAGATTGTTGTTGATTTTAGCTACTTACGGAATTCAATTGCTGTCTGGAGAAATATTCTTCCAAATGGCTGCTCTGATTGATAGTTTCCTATAGTTTCTCTGATTAATTTCAGGTGAATGGTGGAGCAGTGTCTTAAAAACAAGCCATGGATTGTGCACAATCTTGCCTTCCTCTTTCTTGTCTCTTCCTCACACACACACATTCATGCACAACTATATCATACATGTTGAAAGATCAGTTGAGTGCTTAGATCTTGTTTTGGCTGAGGCAGTGCTCTGATTGGGAGATAACTGGAGAGGAAGATCGGGAGATAACAAGTTTTTAGGTCCAACAGATTATCGGGTTAACACATCATCTAGTTTGTTGGGACCCGGCGGGGAAGCTTATACATTGTTTAAATGCCTAAAAAGTTTTTCCTTAAAAAATGTTTTCAAAATTTAGAAAAGATTAACTTATAATCTAAATTTCAAACACTATTTATTTAAATTTTCAACAAAATGTCTCCTTTTGTATTTGATTAAATTTTGTTGTTGGATATTGTGAAGGATGTGGAAGAGAATGGTGCATGTCTCATGATCATTGAAAACACTGATTTTTCGAATATTAAGAAGTTTTAAAAAAATCCGGCATCTATCTACAACTAAAATATTAAAGATAGTGATATTTTCTCCCAATGAAACACTGTTCCTTAAAGATAGTTTGAAATAAGGTCATGTACAGTTTTTTGAAAACTTGAGTAATTTCGCATAATTTTACATTAAATTCGAGGGAGAAAGTACGTGCTGTTTTAGCACCAGTAGTTTCGAAAAACCATGGCATTCCTTGGTTCAGATGTTGAGTACTTGCTTCTAGATCCATTTCCACTCTTGAGCCATCTGTTAAAGTTTCATTTTGAAACCTATAGAAGTTGTCCGGTAGCCTTTGAAACCTGTTTGATTCCTATTGAAGTTGTTTAGTTAGTTTCAATCTTTTTTAAGAATACATTCCAGAGTTCTCTTTTCTATTATAGTACATCTCTAAATTCTCGTCTTAAGATTGTACCTCTGAAACACTACTAAAATTCTCAAAATGAAATTTTTCTGAATAATAGGTTATTATCTAAACATCTAACTTTCAACTTTTTAATGAGTTGAAAAAATCTAAATTTGTATCAATGTCGTAAGTATGTGGGAGTATCTTAACTTTACTACCCCAAATTACCTAACAACGTAAACAATGGGTTTACACTGTACAATGATAAAAGAAAATTACAGTATATTCTAATAGCATGAGTAGTTTTTTTGGATTCATTTAAGTAGTTTGAAAGATAAATGTTTTTAAGCATTTAAAATATTTTCACAACTTTTAAGTTGTACACACAAGTGTAATTGAGGCATCTATTTCTTCAAAATTGAAAGTCCAGAGTATACTCCAACTTTCAATTACGTGGTTAATTTCTTTTTCAAATTATCCCATAAAAATTGTTCAGGTACCTCCACAAGGCTATTATATTCCCCTGGAGATGTATGTGCCACATTTTAGTGTGTTTGATAACCACCAAATGTTGAATTGGAATAGTAATGAAATTGTATTATTCATACAGTGTTTTGCTTTTGTTTGAGAAAGGAGGGTTTAAAACTCCTTTGAAGTACATGAACTGCAATAAAACATTTATGCTTTCATATGTGTGTTCTAATAATCCATAATCATAAGAAACATCTATAAATGTTTTTTTGGATAAGTCTGGTTTCTTGTTTTTTAATTCGCAATAATGTTTTATAGCTTGGCTTCGGGATAACAATCAATCAGAAGTTCAGTTGAATAAAGCAATTGAAGAATTCACGTTATCCTGTGCTGGTTATTGCGTTGCTACATATGTTCTTGGAGTAGCAGATCGCCATTCAGATAACATCATGGTTAAGAAGACAGGCCAGGTATAACATTGCTGGTGTACTGGTGTTCTACAGAAGCCACTTTACCCACGTTACCTTTCATTTAAAAACTTTTTGTTGCAGTTATTTCATATTGATTTTGGTCATATTCTGGGTCATTTTAAAGAAAAATTTGGTTTTCGAAGAGAGCGAGTGCCTTTTGTCCTCACACATGATTTTGTTCATGTTATTAATAAAGGACAGACAAAAAAAGAGGCATTGGAATTCCAGATCTTCCAGAAGCATTGTGAGCAGGCATTTCTGATTTTGAGACGCCATGGCTGCCTTATTTTATCATTATTTGCTATGATGATCTCAACAGGTTTGCCTGAATTGAGTTCTGAAAAGGATCTCAATTATCTCCGTGATACATTGGTAAGTGCTCTCTAAGATTAAACTTGTGCTAGAGTTTTAAAGAAAGTGTATTCATAAAAAAAAGAATTGAATGTCTTATATGGTGCTGAATTTCTTGCTTGAAATTACATTCAATTATTGGATGAAAACTGAATAGAATGATATCAGAAAAAAATGTTATTACATAAGGTTTTTAATAGTGTGCACAGAATGTATTATGGCCTTCTTTGCTTATGAAGCCTTATTTGCCTATTTTACTAATGAAACTGAGAACCTTCGGATACTAGTTAACAATTGCATACCAAAGCCATTTGGGTACTTTAAGAACATTGGAGAAGGGAACTATTGGTACATATATTTAGCAATGTATTACACACATTTTTCAGTGAGTTTGCGTTCAAACATTTTCAGTTTTTAAGGTGGGAGGCATTTTCATGATGTGTGTGTGACATTACAAACCACAAATTCCGTGTACGTTTCTCTTCTACGAGTCGCAATAGCAAAAGGTTTGGCATAATAAACAATTATAAATGTATACTTTCTTCTGGTCATTTTGACACATTTTTCAGACAGTACTTATCTACCTGTGATGTTTGGCTGAGTTATTCTTCCCAAAAACTTAACTTTGCTGCAGCATATAGGTAGGCAAACCACTAACGGCCAGTTTGAACGAGTTGTAACAAAATTTTTAAATGCAGAGAGACACAAATAAAATTATTAATGACGAAGGAAGTAATATGAGGGTTCGGAAAGAAAAGAATGTAGTAGTGTAAAGCCAAAAAAAGACCTATGAGAAGGAAAATATAAGGAAGCGAATGTTTGTGAACGAGTAGTAGATTAGTGTCTGCAGTAACTTTGCATAGTGTTGTATTGCAAATGTGATAAAATGGTTTCTTCTCGCGAAGGAAGGGAATGTCTAGAAGATTCTCTACATTGTTATTTGGAATTGATTTTCATTTCTCGTCAAGTAAAAACTGCTGCGATTTTGCTGGATTCGAACACGTGATTCACAAGCCTCGTGTCTAAGCTGTTCTCCTAATACTAACACAAATGTGAATGAGAACTGACGGAATCATGTATCAAACGAATTGTGTCTTTGAACTTCATTCATTGAACTTTTGCATTTCCGCAACTTAAATATTAAATAAATTACCTCTAGGTGACAATAAGAATGCAGAGCAATGCACGCGACCCTAAAAAATATTTATAAGTAGAATGTACTATTTCAGAGTTCAGCATATGTAATTTTCACTGTCAGTCGCTTGGCTGTGAGACTTGCCGAGCTTAGCCCTTATCTTTTCCTCTCTGGGTAGAGGTGATAACAAGGAGAAAAATCTTCAAGGGGAGGGAGGGGGAAGTATCAGGGAGCTTAAGCCAATCAGATGACCAACCCGAGACCAAGACCTCTTGGTCCTGTCTCCAGGATTGGTCAAGTGTCCAGCTGTGGTTGTACAAACTGTAGGAAAGCCAGATTTGACTGCACAAGGCATCACCCATATTCTGTGTTATGGACAGTACCTCTGTAGCTTAACAAAGAAGTATAATCATTGTCGTCTAAAGATCATCTTTTGATAGTTTTTGAAACAAATATTCTGTTTCACAAAACTAGTAGAACTACTGGTATGAAAATGCGAGGTGTATTTATCTTATTGTGTATGTTTCAACAGGTCTTGGAATTATCTGAATCTGAAGCTCTGTCACATTTTCGGGCAAAGTTTGATGAAGCGTTGTGTAATTCCTGGAAAACGTCTTTGAACTGGGCCTCACACAACATGTCAAAAAACAATAAGCAATAAATAACTATGGCACATTGCTTCATTTTTGGAGTTTGCCTATAGTAATTTACCTTGCAAAAAGAAACAATTGACCAAGCTCACCGTAAGAAGAGGACGAAAATTTGAAAATTTATTGTCGTGTTTCCTTATTTGTCATTAATGCATCATAAGTGGCAAGAAAATACAGGGTAAGGAGGTGCAAACTAGTGATAATAGTGATTTGCAAGGTAACGTGATCTTCAAAAATACATTTTCCAAATGGGAAAGACCTAGATCAGTGGAGAAGAAATGTGAAAAGCTTTGGGTGGTTTTGAGACTTGAAGGCAAGACATTAAGGTGGAATCTTCAAAATACTGTTATATTTTTGTAATAGCAGTATTTTGATTATGACATTTCATAAAACTTTGTTTTTCAGTTCAATGTCTTCATCTTTTATTTTGCAATCATTTCCATTTTTTGTGTGTAACACACATACTCTGTACCTTTTTGAAATGTATGAATGGTATCTGTTCTCAAGACCAAATTCATAACAGCCTTTGAAGTGTAACATATTTTGAACATTTCCCACATATACAGGGAAGAAGTGTTTGAATGGTATGAAAGTTGAATATGTCAGTTTATGTTTTGTTGTTTCTTCATATTAATTATTGATGAAATGCAGATTAAATTTAACTTAATGATAGTATATTAAATTAAAATGCACTGAGTTTGTTTTTTAATTGTACAAGCTCAGTACAATTTTATGTTAAAATGTGATAAAAACTTAGTATTCTATATTTGTGTACCTAATTTTAAATATATTTTAATTTAATTAGATACAAAACAAGCATAAGTATGTATGTGTGTGTGTATGTATGTATGTATGTGTGTGCTCAATTGTCACAAAAATAATGAGTTATATTTACATTATTGGAATTTCCATGTGTGGCAAGTGTCGGAATGTCTGAAATTGTATGATTGTGTGTGAAAAGAAAGAATTATCTGGTCTGTGCATTGAATTGTTTTTGATCTCTATGCAAACTCATCTGTTCGCATGTACTGTTGTTAAGGAGTCTTAACTTTCCAGATTCATGTCAAAGTTGATGTGAATTATTTGACTGAGTTATTGAGAATTTGTACAAGTTTGTATATGAAAAAATCTGTTGCCAGTTACTATTTGAGATGATATATCAAAGACTACTTTAGTAGATGCTACTGCTGCTTCAGCATTCTCATTTCTCAGAATTTATGCAAGATACTCATACGCATGTTATCATTGATCTGTATCATTTTTATTGCCCTGGCTGTTTAACTTTGTTGTCATTACCGGTTTTTGTTTATAGCAAATATGAAGTACTGCACTGTTATTTAACTTATTTTCTGAACTTAGTAATGAATGTGGGCAAGTTGTTGCAATCTAGTGAGCAGTATTTATTTAATTAAATATTCCATATTAGAATGGTATGAAATGTATTCATTTTGGCCTAAATTGTGGTTCATTATTTACTATTGTATTTGTGTGAGTTTAGTGTAATAATGTGTTCTTAGTGTTTCCTTTAGCACTTTGCGTTTTATTTACAATTTTAAGAGAAAGTGAACACTGAAATTATTTTATAAGAATAGGGTGTTTTTGATTTGACATCTTTTCAAAGTTACGTTAGTGCCAACATACCTGCAGTTTTCAGGAAATCCTTTTATTTTTGGTTAAAATGTTTTATTTTAGTAAAATTGGTTTGTTTTGGGATTAGAAGTACAAGCCTAGTGAATTTGGTTGTTTACTTTATTTTAGTCGTGTTGTATTAATTTATTATACTTGCAATGTAGGTTTTGCATTGAATTACTACTGAATACAATACGTTTTAAAATTTGTGCAATATGTTTTCATATTAACAAGATACCCACCCATATGTGTACTTGTGAAAATTCATTTTATCATTAATTTTGTAATGTGTGTAGACTGTTGATGAGCAATTAAATTTTTTTGGGACCTGAGGTTTTTTCTTTTTTACTGCCTATTTAGTGTTATTTGGCTCTATTTCACCATGTGTACATAGAAGGTGCAAGTATGCACCACGTAGAGAAAGGATTGTAATACTGCAAAAAATAAATACCGATATTTTGTTGGGAACACAGGTTCTGAGGCTCGCTGGTACTTGTTACTTTCTCTCTTACTACCACAAAGTATAGAAAGTTCGTAAAAATTCCCTTTTTCTATAAGAGAAATAATTGTGTGTCCCCCTTAATGAGTACCAGAGGAAAGAAATCTGGATGGTAACTGATGGCCGCGCGTGCGGGTCCAGGATGGCGGGTGGCCATCACCACCACGGCCGTCATTTGACTCCAGACGGAAACGAGACCATCGCACATCGCTTCACACGTGGCAGGGGCTGGCACTCGTGCCAGAGGAACACGGGGGCCACTAGCGGTACCGGCGTCCTTCGGCCCTGTCGCGCTCCAGTGCTGCATTAGGCGGCTCTACACCATCGTTCGCGAACGCGCGCCGGGCAGACAGCCACTCGGGGACACGTTTCAGAACGCAGTTTGTGCGCAAGAGCGCGGTTTGGAACGCTGCGAGCAAAAGCGCGGCTCGCATTTACACGTGGAGTTTTGTTGCGAGTGGACATAGTGACCAGCCGGGCGGTATTTTGAAATGGCGGACACTCGTTGCTGGAGCCGGGATATGGTGAGGGAGTTTCTTTCCATATATAGTCTATGGAAGATTTAAAATTCTGTGCATACTAATAAAGAAATAAAAAATGAGGGGTACGGGAAGTCATCAGGATAGTTCTCCTTTAATTCCTTGAACAGCGGTATGTGATCAGATTTTTGTCTGTAACTTTTTACCCTAAACAGTGCGTGTTTTCTTCTCCATTTCCTCTTAGTATAGTGTTATGACACTCCAAGCACTGCTATAATTTTCCTTTAATGATAATCCTGAAAGGACATTTCTGATTAAGCTAATCGAAAAATAGTATCTGATTCACTATACACTATATAAACACCACAGGATACAAACACAATCAGTACATATATAACTGCACCAACAGAGTAGCAGCAGCAGCAGCGAGGAGAGTGGAACGCAAGTGAGGACCGTCGGATCTCGGAAAATCCGCGCGCCGCACAAGAGCGCGCTAGAACGCTGCTGAGATCTTCACACGGACGAATCGTTCTTGAGTTGCGCGCAGAAGCGTGGCAGAAATAAGAACCACGGTCCTGCCCGCGCGCTCTAGCTCGTGGTCGGGAACGTCCCGGTCAGACGCGCGGCTAAGAATCCCCGTGGGGCACGGCTGCTAAAGGACCCGTCAGTCGCCCGTCTACGCCACCTCCTCAAGATCCCACGTGCGCGGCACTAGCACCTGGCCTCTCGATACGCCCACGTTCACTACGCTGCACGTGGGCGCTGTCATCCGCACGCAATGCAACGCCACGGCCAACTGCTCGTGGCTAGAGGCCAGCGCCGCAGGGTCAAATATAAACGATCTAGGTGGAAAAATGCATTTTCCCCAAGTAATTCAAAGATATTTTTTAACACGTGTTTGTAGAATGTCCATAGCATCTGACAACGACCACATGTTTCCGAGAAATCCGAATAAAGAGCGGTGATTAATGTCTGAAATTGCTCGAACTTCTCACAGCCGCTAGCAGACCCAATAAGACGCTTTGCTTCGGTGCATCAAGTTTGCTCCAAGTGTGTTCACACTGTCTGATTTGTTGTTGGATAGTAAAGTACATATGGTTTTAACATAGTATTTCACCTAATTCCAATTTGAGGTTATGTTTATATTAGAGCTCGTATCTTCGGGTATTCAGGTAATTAAAAAAAAAAGCGCAATCTTGCGCACTCCTTTTTATGTACTCTTAACATAATGGGCGGTCTCATTTTCCCGGAATACTCTTTTTTGAAATATAGATTAAAAAAATTCGAAGATTACGAAGTTTATACTATTTTCGCGTATGTTGTTCAAGAAATGGAAGACATTGAATATTCAGAAGCTGCATTAAAGGACACGAAACAGGGTTAGGAAAAAGGTTATGGCAGATGCGAGGGGATAGTCATCGACATGGATTTCTGGGCACATTCGTCTGCGCTGAATGAAAATATTTCATTTGCACTAAAATCAATCCCGAGTTCATCGAAAAAATATATACGTACCAGCCGGACCTGGCCGACCAACAAAACCTTTCAGGGCGTGTGATCAAATGGCTAAGAAAATGAAAGTACGGCACATCGTACAATCTAGCACTGAGGAGATCAGTTTGGCCGCAGAAATGAAATCAAGCAAGGTAAAAGAGATTCACCATCAATATTTAAAGGACTTATCATTGCATCGCCGAATAGGAGTACAAGTAACAAGAGTAGATCGTGCTTATTTGAAGACCAGGCGTCTGTCGCCGGATCAGGCTCTCTCATTGATGGTGGGTGTAAATCATTCGACTCGGCAGTTCTGTGGTGTTACCGAATACGTTACATTTAAATAATGTGAATTTCAGTAGTTTTCTTGTGGTAGCCTGCCACGAAGAGCCCTCGCACGCCTCACCGGCCATATAAACCTTTTTTATTTTTTGAAATATTTACAATTTTTAAATGAAATATTTATTTTTTGAAAAATGTATTTGCAGCAGAGTAAAAAAGAGCGTATCATTGTGTTAATTTTCCACCCTTCTCGATTATCTTTCTGATCTGGTCGTTCCATCCTGGCCCGTTTTTTCCTTTCACTTGGGCTGCATTCTAGGATCTTCTGGAGATCCTTCTCTCGTCCTTTCGCTGGTACTTGTCCAACCAAAGTGAGTTTGTTTTCTTTTCAATTTCCTCTATAATATCATGTTGCAGATTAATTATTTCCTTAACCCATTCATTTTTCAATTCTTTCCCTTCTAGATATTGCTGCAGCTCTTCTGCATGGCAAATCCATTTCCATAGCTTCTCAATCTTTTCTTTTTATTGTTCTGGAACTTGCCATATTTCTGCTCCATACAATGTAACACTTTCAATCATACACTTATATATTCTAATTTTCATTTTCTTGCTTATATTCGATACCGAGATAACTGAATTCAGAGCTCCTAACATTTTTCTTCCTTTAATGAGTCGCGGGTTTCCATAAAAACCCTGTTTTCGTTCCTATTGTTGTTCCAGCTAAGTCTATTTTATGTCGTCTGTTTCTTATTACATCTCCAGTTTCAATACGTCAATACGTCATGTGTACTGCCTAAAGTCCAGTTTACTGTTTTTTTCTAGGTTGAGGCTTAGTCCCCATTTCTCCATAATCTTCTTTATCTATGCCTAGTCATATATTCAATATCTCCCTGGTCTTGCGCATGAGCACCTGTCAGTCAGCGAACTGTAGGGTATATGAGTGTTGTATTATCAGGCATATCTCCACAAAATAATCAATTTCAGTGCAAATAAAAAAAACAAACATATTTTATCTTTTTTTTAATGTCTCGATTTAAAGAAAAAAATATCGCAACGATTAAAAAAAGTGTCTACTCTTTTGCAATTTAAGATGGAAAGGCTGCATGCACTCCGAATCGTTATCGGAATCCGACGAGCTTCCACATGTTTTTTCACCTTACGCCGCGAGTGTATTTTTGAAAAACTGAATTCCACTGCGAGGGAACTCAGTCCGTCTACAAGAAAGGTTGGAGCTGTTTAACTTTCTCGCCTTACGAATTCTGCGTGGAAGAAAAGTATATAATATTGCGGCGGGAAAACGACGAATTTTACGCCAGAAAACGTAACGAAAAAGTTGATAATACGGTTGCTAAATTTAGGGGAAAAAAATATCACAATTTGTTAACACGTGGCGTAGCCAGAATCCAAGTGTTGTTGTTCTTGAAACCGGAAATTTCATTGACGGCAAAATGCGCGTTTGTGGTCAACGGTGGTGGATAAATCGTTTCATCTGATTTTCTCCAAAATTGATATTCCCGCATCGAATA